GTTATACTATTTGATATGAAGATGAATTTTTACTTAATAAGCAAATGCGGTTAGGTTAATAAAATTTTTATTTTTTTCATGTTTCTTTATTCAATTATTTCCGATGATCTGCAAGTGTCCTTATATTTATGACCAGGAAGTGTAGATGTTCAATCTGTATGAAATTCTGCATGCATAATAATAATTGATCTGACAAAAAAATCAAATTCGATTAATTACTTCATACATTTTGAGAGGAATTCTTGGCATAAAATACACCTGCATTATTCATTCTTTAGAGGGAGGCGTGGAAGGAAAACGTTTAAAATGTCAGTATATCGAAGTTATATACATTAATGATAATTATATCTCCCTCTTCCATTATTATGCATATACTCATTCCGGTTTTGATATTGCAAATACTGTTTTGGATTCATAGTAAATTTGCCTTGAGTTTTACGTCTATTATTCTTAGATTTGCGAGACATATCTTATGTATAGTGAGTGATCAATACTAATACATTCAATTTTTTTCTAGCAAAGTGATCTCCGTTCCAAATTGGAACGCACGTGATTTTGATAAAAATAAAGCATGGACATCCACATAATTAGATTGAGACAAATGGTTACATAGAACCTTACTTTATTGATATATAAAAAATGTTACCGAAATAACAACATAAAAATAAATAAAAACATATCGCAGTTATATACTGCAAATTACTTCTTTTGAAAATAGCGGGCCAATGATATCTCAACACTACTTCTTTGCTCTTTCTGTTGATTTAACTTAAAAATTCTCCTACCATCGACAGATAACTCGTAGCTATTTATCCAAGTTATGAGATAACTTTTTCTATTCTCAACGAGTACAGTTGAAACTTTATTTTTAGTCGCTACATTCATAAAAACTACATTTTCTATGCCTTGGCATGAGCTCCGCTCTAAATCGTCAATTGGAATATCATTTTTATCTACAAGAAAAACCCTCGCGACGTCTTCATTTAACACTTCAATCTTTACTCGGATGTTCTCGTGACCAGTATCAAAGTCTTTTGTTTCTCCTTCCACATATAAAATTTTGTTTTCTGACATCGTAACTGCTAAGAAAAAACAAAACTATTAATTAATACATGAAGTTGTAACTATATTTCTGACTCAAAAATTTATTCATAATGCGTACCTTAAAAAAAATTCGATAAGATAAGAAATGAAGCCTCACAAATCCGCCTTATTTATATAGTTTCATTTGTTACCCGAGAACCTGTTAGAAGAAAAAAATACATGATTAGTAATTACGTTACCCCAACCATTTTCCAGATCCTTTCTTCGTAAAGCAAGTCAGGTCACAAGCGCCAAGCACTAAATATATGAACCATAGACTATATTTCACCTTTTATGGGGAAATTAAACCTTCCAGTTTGGCGATCGCTTTTGTAGAATAAAAAATAAGACAGATTTTGGCGATC